CAAATCTCCGAGGACTCCTTCGGGAAGGCAGAAAAAAAATACAAAACCTACTATAAATTCATCCATCTGCTTTATGTCTCTCACTTCTTTATTAAATATTATAGATATCACATTACTTAGATACTGTATCTTTTAACCATCAGTTATCAAATTTTATTTTTAGGTACTGTTGATTTATAATTCTAGATATAATTTTAATTAGGGATGTCCACATTTGCACATGAGGTCTATTTGTCCTTAACCAGTTCCTAGTAGTTCCTAGTGTTCAAAGGGTTATACTGAAAATATAAAAGGTTTAATATAGCTGTGCTTCTGATGGCAGTTATCATGCCTATGAGCAATTTACAATCACTAAGCAAGGAGCAGGTAACCCAGCTTGATGCTCAGAGATACTGTACCTTCCCTCTCCTTAGTCGGTCTTACAGTATTTTCAACGTTGCCAGAGTGTTTTATAACCATAAAATTAAAACCATATTTCCTGCAGTAAATGTCCCAACAAATCTTTAAGAAGCTACATGTTCGCAAAAGATGTGCCATTTGAGATCTAGAAAAATAAAACGGTGTCTTCCTTCCGTATAATTTAATTATCTTATCTGAGTCGGGAATATTGCCTCAAAGATGCTGAAAATGCCCCCTTTCCCCTAGTGCTTTGCTCATGATATCATGTTTCTGAAAAAAGAAGAAAAAAAATCTTGATGTTGCGGTTGCCGTGGAGACCAGAGAAAACCGATTCCAGATACACACAGAGACGCACAACATTTGCATCAGGCATTTTACTGGATATGAATCACAGCAATCGGGCTGGGAGCCAAGACCTCTTCTGCTGGGCAGCTGAGCTCGGTGCTACGCAGGCTGCGTTAAGCACAAAGGCTTCACGAGCTCCAGGAAGCCGGTGACTGAGGACCAGCAGCTCCGCTCGGGATGGCCGTTACCATGGAGTATTTCACGACAAGAAGGGGGCTGTACCGTGCTCGTCAGAAAAGGTGCAAGTCACTGACTGCATGACAGAAAAAAAAGGATTTTTATCTGTACTCAGATTCCTTATGGGAGATTTGGCGGGGGAGTGGGGAGGAAGGTTTCGAATAAAAAAAAAACGTAAACGTAAAAAAAAAGAAAAATACAAGAGACCGTGATTTTATTATGAGGACCAAAATGCGCGATAAGAAATCTGCAACAACCGTTTGGGGTCAGACTCGAGTGCGGAAGTTATTTGACCTGCGTGGACACCCTCTTGACACGTCCTTAGTCGTAGACTGATATTTTAGAAGGCAGGTGTCTGTTAGAGTTGGTAAATTTTTAGAGTTAGTGGTTTTTTTTTTGCATGTTGAATATTCAAGACGAAAAGTGGTTTTATAGTATACCCCGACACCTCGTCAGCCCTGCCCCTTCCTGAACCCCAACCAACCCTATAATCGCTCCGCAAGCCGTTCCCCCCAGATTTTAAAACCGGACGCACTTGGCCATCACATTATATCACATATGCGCAACAAAAATTGAGAACGATTTTTAATGACAGATTGCATCAGACTGTGTCCTAGGGCTGTGCCCCTTCTTTGTCGAGTGCAATCTGATCCATCGCTTCGGGCAAGTCACTTGTGCGGGTTTGAAATGGAAATTGGCACCACTACCGTACAGGACGTCCTGTACTGTCATGACAGCCCTTGCACTGTGAAAGCTTTAATGGTTACATGTACAAGTGAATTACTGGTGCTTCTGGCTGGCATTTTGAGACATTATTCAAAAACCGATTCTGTTTTTCAAGAGTTTTCAGACTTTTAAGATCACTTTATTGGCCATATACAATTTCTTGTATTAGAAATGTGTTGTTTTTTTTTGCATACTCCAACTTGTTCTCCATGAGACACACAGACAGGGAGAGAAGCTTGGGGTCAAAACAGGGTCAGCCATTTATACAGTGCTCCTGGAGCAGTTGGGGTTAAGGGCCTTGCTCAGGGGCCCAATGGAGTAGGATTCCTCTGCCAGCCACAGGATACAAACCAGCATACTTCCAGCCACAAGCACAGATCCTTAGCCACAGAGCCACAGCACTGCACTGCACATTTGGTGTTTCAAGCTATATTTTAAAATCCCTATCAGGAATGATAGAATTGTTTTCAATTTGTCCACACAGCTCCATTACTAAAATGTGGAAAACCTGTATCTCTCCATCTGTGTTTTATTTGTTGTTGTCTAGTGTACAGAGCTTTTCTACCAATAATGATATGCAGTTCTGCATCAGAGTTAATCAGGCCTTGAAGTTCAGTCTTCCTCTTAGAACTTCCATTTCAAAAAGCTTTCCTTTCATACCTATTATCTGCTATAAGAGAATGTGTTATACAACTCTCCAAAATTATTTTTCCTCCTTTTGAAAACAAACCAGTTAAAACAATCATCACTAAATGGATTTGTTTTAGGGGTTTGGGATTTTAGGATCCTAAAAATCCTAAAATCTAGATCATAGATGAGCCTCTGAATACTCACATTGATATTTCTTTTCAAAACCTTAAATAGGTTTTTAGCACTTGAGGGTTTTGCATTTTTTACCTTAAAGCCACATAAAAAACAGTGACGAGTGGTTGGAGTCCTTTCGTTTTTGAAGGTTCTTGTTTCCTACTAAGTATAAGAAAAACCTCAATGCTGTGTGACTTTGTTTCAAAAAATTAATTTGAATTGCATTCCTTCTTTGTCGTATGAACAGATTCTAAACAGGAATTACAAACCAGCCCTGTCAGAAATCTATCCATACTGGACTGTTTAGTTTGAACAAACTAAAGCTCTGGTTTGTTTTAAACACAATGTCAGTGGGGTTGGGGGGTAACCACTACCTTAGTGTTTTTAACACATTTTTAGAGCTAACCGTAAAATTATCCTCCAAGTGCTAATATAAATAATTATCAAGATCTGAGACTGGGAGATTGGCTCTTGTAACAGTCCTGACTTCATTTGGCCATATCTGAATATGAATAATGATAAACATTACTTTTTTTACAGATATCTTTTATATCTTTTGTAGATTTTAGTGAAGAGTAGTTTACATGGGGATGTTGGCATATAGGGCCTCACAGCACTGAGGCCCTAGGTTCTGTTCCAAGCATGGGGTACCAGCTATGATCCCCCTGTGTTTATGTGGGTTTTCAAACATCCAAAAACATACTAGTAAGTTAACTGGCTTCTGGGAAAATTTGCCCCGGTGTGAGTGTGTTTGTGTGTGTGTGCCCTGAGATGGACCTCCGACTCGTCCAAGGTGTGCCCTGCTTTGTGCCCACTGCTTACTCGGATAGGCTCCGGCTCTCCCATGTCCCTGACTTGGAAGAAACAGTTAGAAAGTGGATGGATGGATAGCTTACAGTGTTACACGGTTTGGGAGATCGGGTAAAATATAGGAGCGACTGCTCAAATAAATACTGGTTGTCTACTGATGTAGACTGTGTTTAACAGAACATCCCCACAGTTAGCTTCAACACATAATATACAATAGTTGATGACCACAACCGAGACAACCAAGAATTAATGAAGCAGTCATATATTCAGACTTGTTGCTAGACTGCAAAGGGGGTCTTATTTCAGCAAGGGCAGGCTTTCTTAGTAAGCAGGGTAGTTGTTTGTCCAGGATTAACCACAAAATCAATAAATTGGCTGAGCACACCAACATGGACAGTGGAATTTCACTTCAACAGATCTGTCATGAAAGCCCCTTATCCACCTCCCCCACTTTCACCCCACCTGACTTGTTCATTTCAGCAGATGTGATCAAATAAAATGAGAAAGAGCTAAAAAGTGAGTGAATACATGGATGATTGCTGTTTCTTGATTGTGGATAGTCATTTCTGTCTCACATACATTAAAAGTATGCAGATGTAGATGCAAGCAGCAGCAATAGTGAGCTTTTCAATAGTTATAAACTTCACTGATGACAGAAGCCCCTTACTTCACCAGTAGTCACTTCAAAAGGGTTCAGATACAGTATGTACACTATTCATTTGAATATTTGTAACATTAATCAAATTTAGTATATGCAGTGTAGCCCTTATAATGGCCTATCAAACTGGACAAAATGTTTATACAGTTGAATTTGCTCCTTTCTTAAAATAATAATAATATTAATAATAATAATAATAATAATAATAATAATAATAATAATAATAACAACTGCCCACATCCATGCTGTTTTTGTTGATTTATCTTTTAGTACCTCCAGCACATCACATTTCACTCGTATCTTGTGATTTTTTAAAAATCATGCCTTCTTCTGTTGTAAGCAAGTGTTTTTGTGTGTATACAGACATTCAAGGTTACTGATTAACAGCAGTTATTGAGCAGACAGATGTAAACTGGGGTTTCTACATTTTTTACTTCTTAATCTCTTCTTGTGGGCGAAAAGTGGGTCAAAATAAAATTTAACCTGCAGCATTTCTGGTTTTAAATGTTGTCACATAACACAAGGAATACATATAACAGCTATTGACATAACACAAAAAAACATAAGCAAAATACATAACATATAGGCTGATATCTGTATGGTGCTAAATTGTTACGTTAGCATGTTTTTCAGAAGCCTCTCGTGGATGAAATCAATTGCACCATTTACGATGTAAACCACCCTACAACGTTTTTATTTTTTAACATTTTTTTATAAAGCTGCTAAAATAAATCTCATATGTACAAGTTTTTGCGTTTCAGATTCAACTAAATGTAGCGCTGCCAACGTTATTTCGGTAGACACGTTTTGATTGCCATTTTCCTGTCAAATACAGGACAGTGTGTGAATTACTGTACATATAAAATGCTTAGTTTTGATTTATTTGAGAAAGCCCCATATTGTCTGTTATCACTGTTATCTCCCGTGTGGCGTACGGTTTTAACATCCATTTCTGTTCTCGTTAGCTAATTACACTGGCCCGTTCATGTAATTCACCGCGGTGGCGTTTTGAATTTCCCTCCCCGCTTGTGCACCGGCGATTATTGCTCGGTGTTCCCATCTTGACGCAGGCGTGCTGGATGCGCCCCCCCCGTAACGGACCGACCGAAATACAGGCAGAGCCCGAGATCCCCATAGAGACAAGCTTTCTGCACTGGCTGTGTCGGCAAGGTAGAGCTTTTATTTTATTGAAAACGAAGACTGATTTGCAGCCTGCTCGGCTTGGAGACAGGCGAGAGAGCAGCGGAAGAGCCCGGTCATCGGAATCTAGGGGGGGTGGTTAAAATTTGCAAGCCTTTCTTTTTATTTATTTTTTATTTTCTTCTCATTTTTCTCCCCCCCGCTTGCTCGCTCTCTCTCCCTGCCGTGGCGGTTACCATGTAGGCCGCAGATTGGATCGCGTTGTTGGGGAGGAGACCTTTTGATTCCGCTGCTGGTGCTGCTTGGCCGATATGCCACAGTGGAACTGAATTATTTTCCCTTTATACGTCTTGGTTGCCTTTTTTTTTTAAACTAACATTTAAAGCTGGATTGTGGATCCTGGACGGTTCTAAAGGTATTATTTAATCCGCTTGTCACCCATCGTAACAAAAAGCTGTCTGTTTAGCCTGTTCACACGAACATTCATTCATTATTTTTTCGGCTTTCTGTTGCCGGTGCCATATGCCATGCTATATGCAGTATTTCTGAAATTGTTTTTAAATATTCACTGTTATTAATCGGCAAATACGTGTTTGTTAATCGTTTTAAATTCGAAAAGGGATTCCTCCGAAAATTACTCGCTGCGTTCATTCTTAATTATACCTTGTATCTTCTTATTTTATAATTGGGCTGTGATTATAGCTGCACTTGGCATTATCACGCCCAGCTTGAAAAATGCCATCTGCCTGTATGTATGTGGATGAACAGGCGAGGCCTCATACGAAACGTTTTAATGTCACGATTAACAACTTGTGAAACGATTGAATTCCCAATGCGAGGGTCGAAAAATGTGTATTTATGGGCGTTCCGGTTTTGTTTACGAAGCATATTTCAGTGGCTTTGTGGCACTGTTTTTTTAATTCTTTTTCCCCAGCTCTATTTTTAATCAAGCTAATTAGTTTACATCAGGCTCCGCTTTGACAGCCTCCAGATAATTAAGCATTTGGGTTTTTAACGAAGCCGTATGTGTATGGCATTTGTTTTATGTATCTGTGCGACTAGGTCGTCTGACAAGAAAAAAAAAGACACATCGGATGTGAAAGTATCAGCCTGGGCTTTCTTTCTGCTGTAGGATGGATGTAGATGTCTGTGCTGGGGGAGACAGCACCAGAAGGAAGATGGATTCTGGGGGAGATGGGGGGCCGGAGGTTGTACCTTTGGAGCTCTATGATTCATCCCGGGCAAAAATAGCTGCTAATCTGCGCTGGCTGTTCGCGAAAGCCTACGGGATAGGTAAGTAACCGATCGGTCATTGTTCACATTTGCAGTGCGATGCCGGATCAATTTTTTTTAAAGGCATTGTATCGAGAGCCAGTGAGATCATCACTGAGATACTAGGTTTAAGATTTAATATCGGTATGTGACCAGTCTTAATCAGGATCTGTTACAGGATTCACCCCGGAGTGATTGAAAATGTCGTCTTCATTTGTGCTACACGGTGGCCCAGTAATGGTCGAACCGTAAACGCCGGAAACCACACCAAACCACACACGTATACGGTGTGTCAAGGGTTTGATGTTGGAAGTGTGTTTCTTTGTGCACAGTACTGTTGTACAGGTAAAAGGACTGAAGGGAAAATGGCAAAACTGATTATTTTGCGTGTTGTAAATACAAGGACTTTGGATGGTTTAGGTAGGGTTATTTTAATGCGAGAAAAGAGGGAGTTCGGGGGGTATGTCTTTTGTCTTTCTTTGTTAAAGAGCAGCAAGAGACAGTAGTGCCCAGTATTCGGCGAAGGAAGTTGGACACTGAAAGAATGTAAACAGACCACACGAGTTGAAGCTTCCCTGATCCCTGATCTGTTTTAGGGAGGTTGTAACAGAAAGCAAAGAGCCATTTGCACAAAATTACATTTAAAAAATAATTTAAGCTATAAATCCCAAGTAAAAAGATCTCAGACGACCTGGGAGCTGAGTTTTAACAGAAAATAGTGGTACTTTACTTAGATTAGATTTCGTAAGAGATGTTTTGATTTTAACATGCTTTAATGAAGGGTCAGAGGTTAGTGTAATTTCTAGAACTCAAAAGCCTCAGTCTGTTATCATTTAAATTATGTATATAAATTAAAGGAGCTTGCTGCATGTTTGTAAGTGGTGATTACAAGACCACTATTGTTTAAATTAAGCTATGACTTAAGATATATTTCACACATAGAGATGTCTGAAAGCAGTATGGCAGGAATGCACAGTAAGCTGGAAATGCAGTGTCTTTATCTACTTTAATCAATTTTTAACTTTTGTTTTTGATGAAGCTGCTTGTGAACCCTGGTGCTTGTTATGTTAGTGTTTCTAGCCTAGTTCCGGTCTTTGTTACATATGCATCAGTGGCAAAATAAAATAGACCAGTTAAGTCTGTCCTTGCTAGGGACAAGAGCTACAGACTAGGGGTCAGCATTCTGTGTGCTCCATTCAGAGCTGATAACACAAACACTACAGTCATTTTGTTCTGAGAAAGAAATTGTTTTGTGGAAAATTGTTTTCATCTTAAGTAAAGACAGTTATCTATAAATGAGACTTCGATCCTTTAGGACAGAAGTAAGTCTTAAGGAATACATTTTTATTGGAGTTTTAGAAAACAGTTACTCTTGGTGAATCAGTTTATTCCCATTGTGTTTGTTTTTTTCTAGGAAAAGCATTGAATGTTTCTGTGGGTAAATTCTGTGTCTTACTAGCTGTGTGCACAGAGGTAGGGTACACATATGGATTACATGGCATGTGATTGGGAATTGTTTTGACCTAGATGGATTGTTTGAATTTGAACTTTTAAAGCTTAAGACTATTTGACATGTAAAATGCATGATTTTGGTAAAGTAGTTGAAATACAAGCTATATAACCATTAGCTCCTTTCAGATATTCAAAGATCCTGTTGCAGATGGACTGCCAAAAGCAAAGCTTGGTGTGAGGTTCATGGAGTATTTCTGATGAGCTTATCTTGTATTGTTTCTTGTGTTGGTTATACAGACCTCATTTATTTATTGATTTATGTTGCACAGCAACTTCAGAACTGAAACAGTTGGCTGTGGTGTAACTTGATTTGTTTTTAATCACTGCTGAACCAATCTGAGTGTTAATTGATTTAGAGTGAGATAGTAGCAGGCATTTACAAGCCTCACTTCAATTTATAGTTGCCTCCGATTACATACTGATTTGTATGAAAAAACTTGCCTCTTTTCTGATCTCCAAAGTTATCTTAAAAGGGAATGCAGCTTTTTGCTTAACTCTCTAGGAATCTGAGGAATGCAGCTCAGGCAAGATTGTGTTTTAAGAAATTATATTCTGGCTGCTCTTTTCTTAAAAATTTGACCTTTTGGCTAATTATAGACATAATTTCTTTTGTGCAATCAGTCCCAAATACTACAATAGTTGAGTTTTGCTGGGTGAAAGGTGTCTGTTAATTAGTTTTAATTAAATCTGACTTGATGTTTCACCCTGATTTTCAATGCTTGTCTTGTGTAACTGGACTCAGAAGCACTGTGCGTGTTACAGCATTGATGTCACCCACCCCTTCTTTTTGAAACATAGGCAGTGTAGAATTCTCTGGCCTTTTGGCATAGTTGAGTTCTCTGCTGTTTAGTAAGCGGCGCTGTGTATGCTGTAAATCAGCAAATTATCATGATCAAATCCTGGTACCAGCAAAGAAAATCTACACCTGTCACCCCCTGCACTCTGTTTTTTTTATGAAGCAAAAGATATTTCAGAATTTCAATACTTACATTGCTGTCACTGGTTGTAACAGAGTGTGTGTGTTAAATAGATTATCAAAGTAATCTTTGTCTTGTTTGAATACATATGGGGAAAAATCTTGTTTTTGTAAATAATGATACCACTAATTGTAATGTATTTGGCAGGGGCATTACATTTTATTATGTTGCGAGACGCATTGTACTTAAATATTAATGAGGTCTGTCCTTCGACTGGTGTGACAGATAAGTTAATGTTAAATTGACAATTCAAGAGGTTTAGTATTCCCCTTAAATTTCCATTGTTTGGATCCTTCACGGCGATTAAAGAATACTGTTGGAATAAGGGAAGAAGGTTAAACTGTGCCATCCCAGTTAAAAGACGTGGGCAAACCTTGTGTAAATTGAGTAAACACTAAATTTGCTGACGGGGGATGTTCAGTGCTGTGTACTGGAGCCGAACTCTGTTCTAATAATGCACGCAAAACAGTGTTTTCAGGACTGATAGTAATCCCTGGCCAGGCAGCTAATAAGGAAACATTCCAGAGCGAGCATTACATGGAAAGGAGGTTAAAATATTACATAGATGCCTCTTTCCCCACTTGACCTGGTTTTTAAGATATGGGTTATCGTTACGGGTGTTACACTGTGTTACACTGTACTCTGTGTTCTGACTGTTAATATTTCAATATTTAAGACTGTAGTGGTGGAGCAGATCAGAGGGAGGCTGTAAATAGTGTCTTGCATGATACTTGGTTTCTTACAATAACAACTTTATTCAGACTGCATACACCTTTTCTTCTGGTCTTTCTTCTTATTTTACACACATTGCACAGCCAATCCAGCTCAAAACACCTGCATCTTTAATGGCAATGATAAACTGCTATTAATTTTGTTGGAACCTCTACTGGAAGGTTCTTAAAGTTGCATTTGTAATTCCGTAGTTTGATTTGAAAGACCTGCGTTATCAGTCATCAACAGTTCTGATTGAAGTCTTAGTAGAATATTAACATTTTGTGCCTGTCCTTTGAATTTTCATTAGGCCTTTTAATGTGTATTAATGCCAAAATTAGTTTATGTACAAACAAATGTTCTTGATGTCATATTACTGCATTAGGGTTCATTTTATAACTGAGCTTATTTTTAATTTATTTGTATGTGTGATTACCATTTGTCTCCAGTCCACAAAATTGGCATTTAATTAGTTCCTTTTTATTTGGTCGAGGAGCTGTTCAGTGGGTTGCTGTACTTGTGTTTTGGCTGGTGCTACACTGTCCTGCTGATATTCAGGAAATTGCAGCCTTCATCCTAGTTAAATGACCTTTATCAGTGAACAGGAGTCATGCATAGTTTTGTTTTGGTCAAGACCAGTGAATTTCAATCATTAAAAAGATGCACATAAACATGTTTGGGACTCCTTTTGTGTATTGGTTCACATTGTTTTGCATTTGAACTGCATTCATGGTAAGAAATGTAACCACGATGCCATAAAATGAAAATCCTAAGCATTTTACAATACAGTCCAGGCATTTTTTTATCAAATGTATAAATCTTACTATACTTTTAATTTCATGGTAGATTATGCTGCTTTCGCCAGCAGCCATATCACCCTGCAGTTCTCAACTAGCTACCCACTGTAACTAAGCAGGGTTGAACCTGGCCAGTACCTGGATGGGAGACCTCCTAGGAAGCTAGGGTTGCTGCTGGAAGTGGTGTTAGTGGGACCAGCGGGGGGCGCCCACCCTGCGGTCTGTGTGGGTCCTAATGCCCCAGTATAGTGGCGGGGACACTATACTGTAGTGGGCGCCATCTTTTGGATGAGACGTTAAACCAAGGTCCTGCCTCTCTGTGGTCATTAAAGATCCCTGGGCACTCGATAAGCGTAGGGAGTTATCCTGGTGTCTGAGCTAAATTTCCCTCCTCAGTCTTTACCGTGGACTCCAGATTGTCCCCCTGTATGATTGACTTGCACTGGCCCTGCGATGGACTGGCGTCCTGTCCAGGGTGTACCCTGCCTTGCGCCTGTTGCTTGCCAGGTAGGCTCTGGCTTCACCGCGACACCGTATGGTATAAAGCGGTTTGGCAAATGACAAGACATTATTCTGTTTTCTAGAGATGTTTTGGAAACGATGAGTCGAAAAGCAAGCCTGTAGTATCTGATAGGCCTGCAATATGATTCGATTAAACAGTTTAATAGTGTAATAGAAGTGATTTAGTTCTGTGTTTAAGATGCTGTAGTTTACAGAAAAATCTTGTGATACTCAGATTCATCTTGCAAATTGAAAATCTTATAATTAATCCAGTTTTTCTAAAAGTAAGGCATTTAAATTGTTGTGAATAAAACTCCTTTTATAACTACTGAGATTTTATTTAACAGTTACATCAGTAGTGAGTCAACGTAGTTCATGCTACATTATGAGGTGTTGTTGCTTTCTGCTGCAGTCTTAATTTATTCTCATTCATGAAACGTAGACAGTGCTCTTGATTGCTGAGTGAATATTCAGCCTTCTGCAGTTCATAGTTGGCTTACAGAAGAAACAGAGTTTTCAGTGC